GATATATAAGTTATTCATTCATAAACTTCTGTATCCTTTGATTTTGGAAGCATTTCTTACTTGAAGTGAGACCTGAGTCAGAATAGAAGAGTTTTCTGAGTACTTCCTCTTTACATTTGTAGAATCTGAATATGTTGAAGACTAGAAAGGGAGTTATTTATTGGTCTTTCTTCATTAAACATACATTCTTTCATCTTCGATTAAGTATATATTGATAGAAACATTATTTTAATTACTGAGTGACAATCCTGATGAGTTACATATCTATTACAGACATTCTTCTTGTGTATTCAATCAACCATGTGACAGAAACTGGGCCAGAGGCACCAGAGTAACATTTGAGAATTTATGGTTAGGCTTAGTTTGCATACGACAGCCGTCAGTTTATAAAGAAAGAGTGATGGGTGAAGTCATATTAGCGTAAGTACCAGTAAGGAGACACAGTCTGTGGGATCTGTTTGCAAATCAGAATGGTCACTGCATTTATCCGTGGGAACTTTGTCGTGGGAACTTTGATCAAATAAAGCTGAACAGAAAATACTTTCTGTGATACCTTTGTTATAACAACTACTCTTTAGTAATTTGTGTTACATTCAACTTTGAGGTAGGCAAGTTGAGAAAGACTTAAATGCAGTTTTAGATGAACCATGCCAAGTCCTTTGTACTCAAGAGAGTATCTTTCCTTTTCACTTCCTCCTTCCAAACTGACATCTTTTCAGTTACCATTAGGAGGAAAAAGAGCACATACCCTGTAGATCCTCCTTCACCAAAACAATGTATGAGTTAATCTTTAGAGTTCTGAGGAATAATTTTTAGCCTCAGAGAGTAGACTACATTTTCTAGGCACTGTAGTTAAAAGTGATGAGACTTTAATAATTTAGCTTGCTTGTAAATTGTGATAATTGTTTGTAGTTCTTTAAAAAGATTAGCTGCTTCTATTTACACATATTAAAAGATTTATTGATGACTTTGTCATGTGTGGGATGTGCTTCAGAATAATCCAGAGGTAGAGTTGGTCCTCTGAGTTGGTGAGTGTGGATAGACAGACATTCGTTACACATTTCTCTTTGCTTTTGTATATGTTTGGAATTTTCTGTAATATTTTTCGATGTACTTATGAGGGAAGTGTCTGTTTAGGGCACAAGAGTACTACTTTGCCTTCTTTTTTCTTTAAAGTCACAGAGCAGTAGTTCTTTTGCAGCTCCCTCCTGTACAGTCAAGCCAGCTTTTTAAAAGTGCCTTATATAGATCTGTAAGAAGTCCACCGCAGGATGGATCCCTTTAGACTTTTTAATAAAGAGAATTTGCCTAGTTGGTAACATTGACTATGTACTGCATTTAATGTTCTTATTGAAAGGTGGGAGGAAGGTTTAGATTACCTTTAGTATTCATTCATGTCTTAGAAAATAGCAGTGTGAAGAGATTATCCAAAATAAAAGAATGGAATCTTAATCACTTTTCCTTTTTTTGATACCAGGGATCGAACTCAGGACTGGGTACGTGCAAGGCAGGCACTTAACGCCGCTGAGCTAAATCCCCAGCCCCCTTAATCACTTTTAGAATGGTAACTAAAAGCATTTAGGGTGATTTGAAGTCCCCAACTTGAACATGTGTGAAGGTAGACATTAAAAGATTTTAAATGGACATGTCTGTATTTCTTTGTACCACATTGGTGCAGAAATTTTGCCATTCTTGGTGTTTCTCAAATTATGTAAAAGTAAGTAAATTAGAGTGTGTTGTTGTTTATTTTCTTTAAGCAATCCCAAGAATGTTTGCTTTTCTTTTTTTGACAATTTACATAGTAAAGGAGATAATTAATCCACAGGAAGTTTAAAGAAACTACACCATAGGTATCACCCAGATATTTGGTAATTTTCAAATTGCAGTAAGGCTAGAGAATTATTCCACCACTGATCTGTACATTGCTTTGTATAGGCAAGTCATCAACAATCTCCCACTGAACTAAGTAGATGGAACAATCTAAAGTTAAGTATTGGGCCAGGAATTTAGCTTAGTGGTGTAAACGCTTGCCTGGCAAGCCCAAGATTGTGAGTTCAATTCCTGGTACCAAAAAAATATTTTAAAAAATAAAGTTAATTATTGAGGAATTTCTTCTGTTAGCTCTTCCTGCATCCTTGTCTAGTCTCCAAAGTGATGTCGATATATGTAACTTGTTTCCTCTTCAATGCCTTTAAAATTACTAACGTCACGATATAATGCAAAAACAAAACAAAGATGGTGAATTTTGTAAATTGTGTGTCTATAGAAGTCAAGGTAAGAAAAATCTGTGATAATTCTGAATCATTAATAGAGAAGTTAATTTGAGACATTTTTAGCAAGTCTTACTAACAATAAATGCAACTCAAACCCTAGAATTATTTGAATACTTTAGAGTTACCTGAATACTCTTTTAAATACTTTAGTACATGCAAATGACATGCCTGTAACGTATTTTGATTAGATCTATCCCCATGTCTTCTTACCCCCACACCTTTATTTTCTTCTTGTTTTACTGTATTATCCTTTCCCTCCCTACTCTTATTTGTTTCTGTGTTTCTTTGTTTGTTTAGGTTCTATATTTTATAAGAAACAGCTGGTACTGTCTTTCTGCATGTGGCCTATTTCAAACAACATGATCTATCCAGTTTTTCTGTAAATGACATGGTTTTGTTCTTTATTATGTCTGAATAATATTCCATTGTGTACATTTCCTTCTCACATTCATTTGTTATAGTTACCTGGGCCAGTTTTATATCTTGAGTATTGCCAGTTGTGCCATAATAAACATGGGTGTGCATGTATCCTTAACAGCATGATCACTTTAATTCCTTCATATATATATATCATTGGCTGATATGGCTGGATTATATGATAGTTCCATTTCTACATTTTTGAGGAACCTCCATACTAATTTCAATTGTGGCTATACTCCATACTAATTTCAATTGTGTCTAATAACATAGAAAGGTTCCACAAATAATACAGAAAGTTTCCTTTTTCCCTGTATCCTTATGAACATTTATTGTTTCTTTTATTTTTTTGTATTCTTGCTAATAACTATTCTGACTGGGGCAAGTGGGATTCTTGGTATAGTTTTAATGTGCATTTCCCTGATTGCTAAAGACATTAAACTTTGTTGTAAATTTTTAATTTGTATGTTTGAAGTATATAATGATGACATTCATCATTGGGAGTTTCTACTGTATCTAACACATCCTCATTCCTTTTACTTCTCCTGTCCTTTTCTTCCCCTCTCAGATAAACTCAGAGCCCATTTCTGCTGCTTCCTTTAAGAAATTTCTGTTGAGTTCATTTGCACATGTATTGATACTGATTGGGCTCTGACTTTAATGCTAAGTGTTTAATGTTAAGTGAGGTTCTTTTTTTTTTTTTTTTTTTTAGTTACTTATGTATTCTAGATAATAATTCATTGTCTGAAGAAGAACTGGCAGAGTTTCCTCCCAATTTGTACAGCTGTCTCTTTACTGTTGATTGTTTCCATTGCTATCCAGAAGCTTGAAATTTGATCTATTCCACTTGTTGATTCTATTGTTTTCTATTCTGTTGAAGTTCTAATTAGAAAGTCTTTTTCTGTGTCTATGCCTTCAAGTGATTTCCTATGCAGTGTCAAAGTTGTAAATCTTATACCTGGGTTTCTGATTCATCTCAAATTCACTTTTTGTACAGGGTGAGAGGTAAGGATCTACTGTCAGTTATCTCCTTATATCCAGTTTTTCCAGTATTGTTTATCAAGACGTTGTCTTTTCTTCACAGTATGCTTTTGGCCCTTTTCTGAAAAATCTGACAGATGTACTGACGTGAATGTCTTAGTTATTTTTCTCTCGTTGCCGAGACAAAATACTTAACATGCAAAGTTAAAGGGGGAAAGGTTTATTTAGCTCACACTTTGGAGGGTTTGTTTCATTCCATTCATATCAGCTGGCTCTAAGGCAGGGTGGTTGGCAGACAGGTATCACAAAGAAGAAACTTCTTGATGCGCAGAAGGGTAGGAATGCAAGCAAGCAAGAGACCACAACTCTTTCTATCCCATATATCTTATCCAGGCTATGTAGGGTTAGTAGCCTTGACACTGTTAATCCTAGTGCCTTTGATCCTACCATTGTACCGTGCATCAATCACAGCGTCACACAGTCTAGTCCTACCACCTCTGAAAGAGCCCCACCTCTGACTGCATGAGCCTCCGGGGGTTCATCTAAACACAAGCCGTAACAATGAGCTTGTTTCTGTGTCCTCTGTTCTATTTCATTGGTCAGCATATCTGTTTTTGTGCCTGTATCATGCTGTTTTTGTTATTGTGACTTGTAGTATGTTTTGAAATTGCATATTGTGATGCTATCAGCATGGCTGTTTTTTTCAATAATTAGTTTAAAAAGATTGAAGATAAAAGTATTTCAGAAAGTATTACATTTCAAATATGCTTCAAGTTGATAGGCTTTCATGATAGATGACAATTTGTAAATATAAATTTACATAATTTCCCTGATGAAACTTATATAAGTCAACATTTTAAAAGACCTAGAAAATGAAAAGAGATATCTTCCATAGTTATATATCCACAGGAAGTTCTCCAGAATGAACTTTGAAATGATGTATTCTTACTGTTTTATCTATTTTGAATATTTTTTTTTTTTTTACCATATTGTCCGTCTCATAGAACAGTCATGGCAAACTTGGGACCTGCATGCTACTTGCCATCGCTGTTACACAATGTTTAGTTAGCTTTGTTGCCTTTTTATAAAAGCCTGATACAGTTTTTAATTTGTGTAGGACCCCAAAGCATTGATACATTAGAATTATAACTGGAAGTCAGAAAGCTGAAGGGGAGACTGCTTTTTTCTTGCCCTACTTCCTGCTTACAAACCTTTTCTTTCTTTCTTTCTTTCCTTTTTTTTGCAGCGTTTTATTACAAGTACAATATTGACATGTCTGGATTGTTCTTTATTTGCAAAGACTGATCAGTGCATTTTCTGTTTGTTTAGGAGTCAGATGGCCAGGGTTGCCCCTTCTGTCGCTGTGAGATCAAAGGAACAGAGCCCATAATCGTGGACCCCTTTGACCCCAGGGATGAGGGCTCCAGGTGCTGCAGCATCATCGATCCCTTTGGCATGCCCATGCTCGACCTGGATGACGACGACGACCGGGAGGAGTCTTTGATGATGAATCGCTTGGCAAATGTTCGAAAGGTAAACGTGGGTTAAGGTAGTGAGAGGACACGAGCAAGTGTTGTTGTAAATGAAATGTGACAGTGTGTCTGGGATTGGGAAAGAAAGATTCACAAGTAAGGCAAAAAATGCAATTAGTGTTGGCAAACTTAAAAATTGTACACTAAAAGAACTAACCTACTTTATTCTGAGTACTCACACTTAAACCTTCTAATGACAGATGGTGAGAGTGTTAAAAAGAATTAAACATCTAAGACTGGCATAACTCCTATGAAGAAAAATTCGAGAAAGGAAATTATTACAGTTGGAAATGATACAACTAAATTTGATCTTTGTTGTGTGGAAACGTGCCTGATGTTCTAAGAAAGAGGTCACATAAAATTTTATCATTATGAATTTGCTGTAGTCTGAGTTTGCTCAATGTTGTCAGTTCAGAAAACTGACTCGGAGGGTCCACTGTCAGAAGGTGGTACCACCATGGAGCTTATACAGCCAAGTTCACTGAAGACAGTTCAAGAAACTGGAATGCTAATTGAATGATTAACCAATCAGAATTCTAGTGGACAAGAGAACTGGATTCCTGGATATCGGGCTACTCTCTTACTGACATATACATAAAATCTAGAGTACATTCAAAAGTTTTGTGCTTTAAAACTCGGAGATGCGAAAGTGGTATGCAGCTAGAGTTCCCTTTATTCTGATTCCTGCAGGCAGGCCCAGACTGTCACGACACTTTTCCTGCACAGTTGAGACTTGGCCTACAAAGCCACAGTCTTAAGAAACTTCCACCGTAGTTGATCAGATTTTGGCACATAACACAAACACCATTTGCCATCCAGGTGGAGTGACAAAGATAATTAATTGCATCAGATTTTTGTTCACTATGCATCTGCGTTTGCAGTAGGAAAATACTTGGCATACAGAAGAAATAAGGCATTTCTTATGGTTACTTCTCGGGTGTGTCAAACTTTGCCTATGGCACAGTCCAGCATGTTCACTGTTCCAGGGCTCCTGGTGCTGCTGGCCAATAGCATTCCCTTTTGCATGAGTATTTCTGCATAGGAAGATGGGTTGACATCACCAGTGAGGTTACTCTGGAAATTTGCTTTGAGTCAGGGTGATTTGTGTTCTTCCCATCATTGTTTTTTCATGAATCTCTTAAGTCTACTCAAGGAGAAACCATGCTGTATTTCACCCTTTAATGCCAACCATTATGTTTAGTTTTTAGCTTTGAGTTATGTGATCTCTTTGACTCAAGACATGGAAGACAGTAAGTCATGACGTCTTAGCTATACTAAAGGAAAAGCAAGGCAGTAATCACAAATAAACAGAGATTTGAGACTAATGTAAAAACAGCTAAAGTTCTGCTTTTAGGAAGACCTGGAATGAAGTTCTGTATCTATTAAAAATTTCTACAGAGACCTGAGGCAGTTATTTAACTTCTTCCTGCAGTGAGTGCATCAGATGACACCAGGGATTTAAGAACCCAGGACTGTGTTGGGTCACTGAAATCACAAATCTATTAGTTTTATCAATACGGTATCAACTAAAATTGATAGCATAGCAATATGTGGTACATATTCTAGGATATGCTTTATAATGGATTTTAGTAGAAATCATTTCGTCTTCTACATGTGAGTGAGCTACATGTGGCATACTGGAGATACCGTTTGCTGTTGTCAAGAATTCGTGACTTTGAGTACTACCTCTGTGATCATCACTACAACCAAGTCACACATCTAATCTGAGCCTTCTTTCCATAGCTGAAAAGCATAATACCTACCTTCTACCTTCTTGAGAGTTAAAAAGAGTATAAGCTATTAAATATAAGTTCATTGATTTATTACTTTTTTCTGGTAATCGTGGTTTGATATCTTGTCTGCAAAATGTAAAACCATCTGCTGTCTCTTTAAAAAAATATTTGCAATCCTAGGTCTAGGACCCACTATACATTTAAAGGATGTTTATTGAATGCACGCATAACAGACAATGTGACAGAAAAGTATTTGAGAAACATGCAGCAGCTCGAGTAACCTATGTCGCAATACTTCCTAGCTAGAAAAACGCTAGCATTTCAATTTTCTTTACTAAGTGGTTTTATCCTTTTCAGTGATCACGTACAGGCAGGGGCTGAGGCTTTAAGAGTAATTCTCTTAAGAACTTGGTACGCCTTGCCGCTTGGGAGAAAAACACTCCTGCCCTCTACAAGCCTAGGAAAAGTTACTGTCTTGGCCTGTATGTTGGGCCTCTTGCCATCAGTGGTACTGACAGAAGCAAATACTGGTGACACAGAATGAGAAGCAGAATGTCCCAGGGCTTCTCTGGGATCTTTTCTCCCACTCTCCCAAGACGCTGCACACCATCTCCTCTCTGAGGAGTGAGCTGAGAGCTTTTCACATTAACCTTCTCTGCTATTTACCTGCAAAGAGAAGGAAACTCTCAGGAGTCTGATGGCTTGTGTCAGTTAAATAAAGTTCTCTCTACCGTGAGTGTTACACTTTCCTGTGGCCATTACGTATTTTAGAAATTTAAAGAATTTATAGGTACTTGTTTTTAATTTAAGAAATTACATTTTAATTAAATATTTATGTCTACTGATCTGCCTCTAGTCAACTAAATACATTGTAAATTTTATACAATTTCATTAATTTCTGCTACTTATTTTTCAGTAAAACCTAAATTGATGAAAATTGAAAAAGAACATTACTAGGTCATTATCTTTGTGTAGTACTTTATATGTAGTTATACTTCAGGAATTATACTAAATCGCTAAATTATATTTACTATTTTGTCTTGTATATTATATTACGAATTCGTACACATATTATTGGTCAATATATTATTGATGTTGAGTTCCCTGGCACATAAAAGCAATCAATAAATTTTTAATGATATTTAATGAATAAACTAATAAATGTATATACATGAACATTTGGTCTTTGAGAGCAGTGACCTGATCTTATGCATCTTTTATCTTTGTCTCAGTCTGAACAAAATACATATGTGCATAACATAAAGGTCTAGTAAGTTTTATGCAGTTTTGTACTATAGAAGTTACAAACAAAAAATCACATGATGTATTAGTCAGCTGTTCATTGCTATGATAAATACTGAGATAAAAAAAACTAAAAAGAGATTTATTTTGGTTCGTGGTTTCAATAGCTTTGGTCTATGGTCATCTGGCTCCAATGTTGAAATTACAGGGTGGAGGAAAGCCTCTTACCTTGTGGCAGCCATAGAAATCAGGAGGGAGAGACAGATAGAGGCCAACGAAAAGGGTCTGGGCAGGAAATAGTCTTTAAAGCCACATCCCCAGTGACCTGCTGTCACCAGCTAAGCCCAGCTCCTAACAGCACATTCGGCATGAGCTATCAATGAATTAGTCTGTTGATAAGATTAGCCCTGCCATGATCCAGTCACCTCCCTGTGTCCTGTCACTGAACACTAATATATTGGGGAATCAAGCCCTCAGTATAAGATGGATGGGGGACCTATTTAAACCCAACATACAGCATTGTGACATGATAGATCTCACATCTGAATTTTTTCGTCTGTTTTTTATAATCATTCTATTACCTCATTTGTTTTGTTTTGTTTTTTATTGTTTTGTTTCTCTGAGATAGAGTCTTCTATGTAGACCAGACTAGCCTTGAACTGGCTGTTCAGGGGAAAGTAGCCTTGAATGTATGGTGATTCTCCTGCCTCGGCCTCCTGAGTGCTAGAATTACAGACATGCTTTACCATGCCTAGTTGATTTCTTTTTAAAACATTGTATTTTCGGGACTGGGGATTTAGCTTAAGTGGCACAAGCGCCTTTCTGGCAAGTTACGAGGTCATGAGTTTGATCCCTGGTACTAAAAAATAAATTTTTAAAAAAATCATTATATTTTCTGAACTGTAAGAGTGACTGTTAGTCATTTTACAGCAGAATGTTTCTATGTATTTTTATGTCAAATACTTGTCTTTCTATTTTATTAGCAGGTTGATAACAGTATTGTGACATTGATTCTGCCCTTTTTTGGTGGGGGGAGGGTACAGGCAACTAAACTCAGGACCTTGCACTTGGTAGGGAGGCGCTGTGCCATTGAGCTATATGCCTGGCCCCTCTGCCTGTCTTAAGCTTACTGCATTCTTTGAATTAGCAATGCTTCTATCCATCATAGCATAAAAGACCAAGTTGATTGTATATTCCTGTTACCATGGTGATATCCCATGGCTGGAGTTTATAAATAGTGATATACTGATCATCCAGAATATATTTTTAATATTTTTTTTATAAATTAAGTATGCTTAGCACTAGCTTTTACAGAAGTAAATAGAACCTATAAGTCCATAAAACACCGAGATGGTTGCCTTCCTTTATAGAATGTATTTTATCCTTTTAATTAGAAAGCGTTTTGGATTTTTCCAGAGTCTGTATCACGATCTGAATTCCCATTTTCAGCATAGCTGAATCTAACATGAAACCTCAGAAGAAATTCAGGTATAGATTGGTAAGGATATATCTTGCTGTCTCTGATTTCAGTCAGATCAGAGCCAGAAAAGGAATCTATTCCTACACAGAGATTTGCTTCATTTTGCTAAAAATGTAAGGGAACTCATAATAGCTTATGAGCATATGTTGATGGAATATAGTAATCAACAAATACATACAGTCACATATTGATGGACTGACCAAGTGAATAGACCTAGATGCATCCCTTGTGTCTTAAACTGAGTACAGTGCTTAAAATGGTGTTTAATAATCCTAATAAATGAATGACTAAAGAACTGTCAAACAAAAACAGGTATGATCAGAGGTGATGGGAATTCTTTTATCTTTGTTTTATATCCTTCTAATGTTACTTTTGTTAATTGGCATATATATGACTAATTAAAAACATTAATCTCATCGTTGCCTTTCTTAATATTTTAATAGAGAAGTTATTTCCCAATAATTTTTATGGAAGAAACACTTTATAAAATTTCTGATCTGAAGGAAAGAATTTATATATATAGAACTTTAGAGTTGTTGCAGTAGT